GTAGTCGCCAGTCAGCACTGACTGGCAGATGGAATACGGAGGAGGCCAACTCTATGCGATCTGATGGGACGCAGGGAGGTAAAATGGTCTTTGAGATCATAATTTCTGCCCCTAAGTAATTATAAAGTGTGATGTATTGTGATAACATTGTTTAGCAATGGCAATCCCAGCAGTCCCCATTCCCGTTGTTAAATGAGGTTTGCAGGTTAAGGGAGGACCTCACATTATTTCAGCTTGGGACTTTCAGTCAGCTTCCATCAAACAAACTCAATGGGGAAGACAGCTGGAAGTTGCAATTCCTGATCATAACAACCCTTTTCTTAGGTGGCTGTAAGCCATGCAGCAGGCAGATGAAAGTGCTGCCATGCAAATGGGCAGGGTGTGGGTGCTGTAGTTTGGCGCAAGTGAGGCCAAGTGGGTAGATGTGCTGCAGTGCAAGCATAGCTGGGTAGGGAAGCATGCCTTCTCAGGAGAAAAAGCAATGGGAGCAAGAACAACTTGCAACCTTACCCACGCTTCCAAATTGACTTTACTTGTGGATAGCCAGCAGACAAGGTTGTAAATAGTGATCACATGACCATAGGATGTTGCAACCATCACATACGTAAGTCAGTTATCATGTTCCTGTATTGTAATCATGTGATCATATGGGTGCTATAGCCACAGCTTTGAGGATTGGTTGTTACCACTTGTTCAGTGCTTTGAACAATTGCTGAATGAGTGGTTGTTAACCTATTATCTCAAGATACAGGAATTGGTTTTACAGTACAATAGGGCTTATAGAACGATCACACACAGAATGATCACACAGACCCACAGAATGGGGGCAAATTCTGTAAATAAAACACCTGCAATGAGAATACTGCAGCAGTTTTGATGATACCCAATTCCTAGAACTGTACAGTGGTATTTATAAAGTCACGTACATCTATATTTTTCAAACAGATGTGCTTTCTGCAGAAGAAACTAGTGTTGCAATATCAGGGAATGGGAGATGGGAACTTTTCCTGCGAGTCTGCTCATCCCAACCTGCATGTTCATAAGAAAGGTTTGACATGAAGATGTGGCATTTATTCAGAAGATCTTCTGTGTAACCCTGATTGTCCAGGATTCTCAATCCTATGGAGATTGCAGTGTGGTTACTCTATCATTTCAGACATTCCCACTAGTACAAGGTTAAGACAGAGAGCCAACTCCCCTAAACAGATTTCTCCCTTAACTCTTGAAAAAGTATTATATGGCTGTAGTCACTCTAGCATCCACACCTCCTAATCCTGTTTTCCAAATACTTAGGCAACTTCCTTTTGTAATTTACATGATTATTCTGTGGCAAAATTTGGAACTATGTGTCAAGTCAACAGAACAGGAGAGATGTTTAGCTACATGAAATCGCTTCATAAGTTTGTGAGTATGATTTACTTACGCATTCTAGGAGATACAAGGCTTCTTCTGGAAGCAGGCACTGTTTCCCATGCTGTGTAAATCCCATGGTGTGCCAGAATTTCCCCTGATGGCAACAACAAACAATGTTAATTTAAGAGATCAATCCTCTATTAACATTTCCAAAAGAACAAAATAAGTTCTGAGGTTTTTGGCGCATTCTAGGAGTCTGTCACTTCGTGATTCAGTTGGAGCATCTCCATCTGAATTAAGACTGTACTGAAGAAGGGAATCTCATCCTTTTGCCAAAGGCTTGAATTACAATTAGGGAACATAAAACCCCAGAATTCTTGGTCTCAATGCACCCTATTGTATGAGTGTGGGAGAAGTTAGCCTGATGTCCGGTTCTCCCAAATTCAGGGATTGGATTATTGGAGGTGAGACAATAAGAAGTATTCAATAACCTTGTTGCCTTAATTTTCAAAACAGCTGACTTTTAGACCACTATAGGAGACAGGAAACAAATCAAGAGTAACAGATTCATTTGCTCATCCCGTATCTTCTTTACCCAGATTACTTCCAAGAATCATAGCTGGTTCCAGTATAAACACTGTCACAGCTACAAGCCAAACCCTGCAAATACAGGTTTTTTTTGAGCCATCTGATGAAAGAGAGAGGGCACACATTATTTGGTGGCAATGTCATAATATGAAAACTGAAATCAACCCCACTATTTCTGGCTCTGATCTGAAAGAAGCCTGTGGCTACTGATATGTACTGCTCTGAGATAGAAGTTGATAACAGTAAGTTATTTAAGAGAGTAGGAATGACATCATATAAAAGATACGGTAGTAAAACTTACTGCAGGGGATTTTAGTTCTACAATACTTTCCTGGGGCTTCCACTCAGCCTTCACCAAACTTCCCCTATAAAGGAAATTTAAAAACAAGAGTCTCTATTTGTTCATTCTCCAATATTCTTGGCAATGAAAAAGGAATTAAGACATTATTTTAATTTTAACAGGAAGCAGAAGATTTACATCTTCTTAAAATAGGTCCAGAGCAGCTCCAGAATTACTATGCATAAACAACAGATTATTGAACACCCTCCCCCACAAAAAACCCCATTTTCTACCAGCACAGAACAGCTAATAGAAAAGACACAGATCTAGAAAGAAATAATTTGTGGTGTCTAGATCATAGAGGACTGACTCTTGGTCCTAGGATTTTAAATAAGTTAACCTGTTGAGAGAGTGAAGTTGGGGTTGCTTTCTGTGCTTTGGAAAAACAGCTGCAGCCGGGCAGAAATGCTTCCCCCCCCCCCCACATCCCTCATGCCGTCATACATTCACTTTACTCACAAGCATCTAAGACAGTGTTGCTGCTGCCTATGGTAATTGAGCCACTCCCTGGTGTTTTCAAGGATGTTCTTACACCCAGAGGCAGCATCTCTCCACCTCAGGCCCTTGGCTTACAAGAGCAAATGCTAAGACAGAGTGAGAAGGGTGTAGGAGGAAAGGTGATAGCAAATGGCATATACGTAGGGGGAAGTGGAGGCATGAGATTGGCTCAGTGGTGAAATTCAATTTTTTTTACTACTGGTTCTGTGTGCTGGGCGGGTGAAGGATACTGCAAAATATCCATTCCCACCCCACTCCAGGGAAAGATACTGCAAAATCCACATTCCTTCCTCACTCTGGGGCCAGCCAGAGATGGTATTTGCCAGTTCTCTGAATTACTCAAAGTTTCCTCTACCGGTTCCCCAGGATCTCTCAGAACCTGCTGAATTTCACCCCTGGATTGGCTGTTATTATGAGCTGGTAAGAGGACTTCCATTCAACTGCCAGGATCACAAGTTACTCTATATCCTGCTGGCAGTTCTGCTTAGAACCTTGCTCAGAGCTTGGCAGTAACTAGAAAATGATTAATCACACTGAAAAAGCACCTCATCCCAATCAATACAAGAACTTTTGGAAAAAGGCAAATAATGCCTTTGGCCAATAATGTCTATCACAAAGGATACTATGGCCATTAATGTCAAAAGCATATAATATAACCAACATTCCTCTTCCCTCTTTTTATGCAGACCATCCAACAAGATAACAAAAGCAGCCAGTGCCATATTTCAATTTAAAAACTTGACTCAAATGTGTCCAGACTCTAGATGTACCTCAAATTGTTAACCAACCAATGTCTCAGTTATTTAGCTAAGAACTATGTATTTGAGAACTGCCTGAAATACTCTGGTTTGCTGGATCAAGAAAAGTTTTTCCCTTTCCTGTTAACAGAGTCCCTTGTGTAAAACTGGAAAAGCTAAAAACATACTAGAGAGAACATTTTAAATTAACTGACAGTTCAGTACTTAGTTCTAGGTGTAATTCATACATACAAACGCACAACACGCTCCTCCTCCAAAAGTTGCCAGTGTTCTTTCCGACATTGATGCAGGTTTGATTCTTGTTCTTTTGTTCCATCAGGAATAAAATCTTTCTGACCAAGTGAGCGCTGGGGGATCTTGTGATCACGTGTTCGAGCTGCCAGCAGTTCTGCTGGGCTTCATTGGAGGTGGGGAGGAATCGGGGGAGGGGGGGGAGAGAAGGTAAGCATAATCACTTAAATATTCAATTTCTCCATGATGGATTCCTCCAAATATGGTAAACGGTGGCAGATCAGACCACACGTCTATTTAGCCAGCACTATTTCCTATTAACAGCCAATGCCAGCAACTGCTATGACCCACTTACCAATAGCAGTAAGATTTATATACCGCTTCATAGTGCTTTTACAACCCTCTCTAAGCGGTTTACAGTCAGCATATTGCCCCCAACAATCTGGGTCCTCATTTTACCAACCTCGGAAAGATGGAAGGCTGAGTCAACCTTGAGCCTGTGAGATTTGAACTGCCAAACTGCAGCTAGCAGTCAGCTGAAGTAGCCTGCAGTACTACTGCATTCTAACCACTGCACCACTTCCTTTTACTCTTCCTAAATATCCTTCTATTCAACTTCCCCAATTAACCCCCGTTTCAGTATGAAGATAATTTATTTTTACATTGTAAGTGTACAACCAGTATTCTTTCATCTTGGCAACTTTAAAACAGGTGGACTTCAACTTCTAGAATTCCCCAATTGCCAAACTTAAAAGTTGCCAATGTGGAAAAATGATGGTATACAGAGTTCTAATCTTTTCTCTAAATTAAAAGCTTAAAGCTTGTATCCTTTTCAAGGAGAATAACTGTCAGAGCCTACAGCACCACCAGTCTGCATGTGTACCCACTTTTTGCCAAAATGCCCATCTTACATGGCTCTTTTGCTTATTTTAGTGAAATACCTTTGGAATTCCTCAAACTCTCTTTTTGCACAGGTAGTCCTCAACTTATGAACAATTGAGCCCAAAATGTATGTTAAGTGAGAAATTTGTTTGGTGGGTTTTGCCCCATTTTACGACCTTATTTGCCACATGTTAAGTGAATCACTGCAGTTGTTAAATTAATAACACGTTATTAACTGAATCTGGTTTCCCAATTTACTTCGCTTGTCAGAAGGTCACAAAAGGGAATCACGCGGCTTTGGGACCCTACTACAATTGTCATAAATGTGAGTTACTTGTTAAGCAACCAAACGTAAATCACATGACCATGGAGATGCTACAATGGTGGTGTGAAAAATAGCCATGTCACTTTTTTCAATGATGTAACCTTGAATGGTCACTAGTCAAACTGTTGTTAAGTGTTACCTTCCTTAATAGTCATTTACTTTTAAAGTTAGTTTTAGTTTAACACATTTCACTTCAAGCCAGAGAGAAAGAAGGGATCATGCAATAAATTATATTTCTATTCTATTCTTTGTTGTGATGAGTTCTCATTTCTTTCCATTTTTAGCATATATATTCTTATGCACATACCCGCAGGCTTCTGCTTTGCACTTTTAGCTCCTGAGATTACCTGCTAATCTGCCTATCTCGACCTCCCTCTGCCTGCAATATCTTATCACCTTCCCTTCCCCTTCAATTCCTATGGGAGGAGCAGCCCCGCGAAGGCCAGACTATTGCAATTCCTGCCAAAGAAAAGGAACGGGCTCCATATACAAGTGAAATCATTTCTAGGGAGGACGGGACCAGCTGAGCAAACCGAATGGTTGCGCGCGACCCCTGAAAAGCAGCCGGCTTGTCGTGGGAAGCTAGCCTCTTATTTTCCCCCTGCCTGGGTGAAACTACTGTCCCTGCATCGCGTGTGCAAGCGGGGCTTCCTGGAGCAAAACTCCTGGCTTGCAGGACGTCAGAACGGTCCGGGGACCAGCCGCACGTGGCAAAGGCGCAGGAGGGAGACGTATAACGCCCGTCCCTCCAACACTTCCGCCCGTCTCTCCAGCTATCCATCCACCTCCCCTCCCGGGGAGGGAGGCGGCTCCTTTAATCTCCTTCATTCCCACGCCGTTCCTCCCTCACTCGCAGATACCTGAGTAAGCGACGTCCGGCCGGAGGTTCTTCTTCGGCCTCCATGGTTAGGTGCCAGTTCGTAGCCACTTCTTCGAACTTCCGCTCTTGCCTGCCTTGCCCGCTGGGTCCTATTGCCGTATTAATCGCGCTTCCGAGCCCAGAATGGCGCGGATTGAAAAGAATTTGTCGTCTCGAAGAAGAAAGCCGACCGGGCACTATCTACTACGTTTCTAATCCAAATTCTGTTTCAGATGAAATTCCCGCCCCTCCATTCATAGAATAGAATAGAATTCTTCATTGGCCAAATGTATTGAACACACAAGGAATTTGTCTTTGGTGCATATGATCTCAGTGTACATAAAAGACTATACATTCGTCAAGAATAAGGTGACCAGATTTTCAGATTGGTAAAGAGGGACACCATTGACCGGGGGGGGGGGGGGGGGCGCTTAATTAAAAATTTTATATTTTGTCAAACAAAATAGGACAGGACACTGAAACCATCATAAATACGAATCTGTTGCCAAACATCAAAATTTTGATCCCGTGACCATGAGGATGCTGCAACGGTCGCTAAGTGTGAAAATGGTGATCAGACACTTTTTTCAATGCCATTGTAACTTTGGTCACTAAATGAACTGTTTGAGNCCTGTTGATGACGTCAGCAACGCGGTTTAATCGGGCGCGGTTTAGACGGGTCACGCATTGAAGTCAACTGCACAAAATCAATTTAACTGATTCAACTTGCAGCCTTCACAAAAGACAGAAAATTAGGGCTGCAAGATCCACACCAGAAGGCAGTTGTGTCAAACTATTTCCATAAGGCTGCCAAGACAACATAGGCCTATCCATGTAGTTACTAGGAGTTGAGTCCCATTCAAGGGAAACTTTACTTTTTAAACTTTCAAGTAAACATATAAAATTGTAATACAAATATGATGAGACCCCAAAATTACAAGTGACATGGGGGTAGTTAACATGCTGCATCATTTTTTAAATTTAACAACGATCGCTTTTTTCATCTGAGCACAACAAATATTGTTTTTTCCCATCCACCCACAGAATATCATGATTTTAATTAATGAGATTTTGTACCCCATGGTCTCTAAGGATTCTAATCAATATTGAAGTCTCATCTGAATAAACTTAAGAACATCATCGAAATATTTCACTGATGTCTGCTCTATTTTTAAAACAAACCACCCCTTAAAATAAGGAAGACACTATATAATAATCAGATATCACAAAAGGCTCAATGCAATCAGCATTTGCATTGATGGAGGTATGAAATATTATTAACAAGTTACGTTGTCAATTATTAACAAGTTAAACAACAGTATGTTTTTCATCCAACCATCAAGTCCCTAAGCAAACTGGTAAAGCTAAGGACAGTTGCCTGAATTCTGCACATTCTAATACAGTATTTGCTCAGGCCATTCAGCAATATTTAGGTTGGACTGCAAGTACCCATTATTGATGCTTCAAAGGCAGGACTAGAAACAGGATTTTAATGAGTAATTCCTCTTTTCAGTCTACTCTACTTTTTAGGGAATACCATCAAGACATCATACTGCACAGTAGTATTGTCCTTGTGAAAATAAAGCTGGACAGCAGCATTCATTGTATAAGCAGTTAACCTCAAATTTCAATGGAATATTGTCACATGCCCATTCACGTCAACTTAACTGCACAACTAATTGTGATAATGTAATTACAACAGAACTGCCTGCTTTGAAATTTAATGCTTCTTTTAAATTGCCAAATTTTCCTTCCAATTGTATTTGAAATGCACCTGGTATTTTGGTAGGCTGACCGACTTTGGGGACAGCAGATCCTCATAAGCTTCCTGGACTGACAAAGGTAGGTCTTTGTAAAATAACTGAAGGGATCCCTGTAAGAAAAAAAAATCAATGTTCAGGAACTGTGCAAACCTATCATTGTGGCCATTGCCTCAGATATTCCCTGGGATCTGAAGAACTACACCAAGAGCTGCCCATGTCAACTGGATGTCTGCAGAGATGCTCCTCATGTAAAGATTTGTAGATTTGTAGATTTATTTATTTATAGGCCGCCCTTTTCCCTG